TTTCTTTGAATTTGATTTCTTGATTTCTTGATTTCTTGATTGATTTTGTTTGTTTTGATTTTCTGATTTTGTGATTGATCTCTTTGATGATACGGATAAATACTTTATGATTTTATTTACACCCATCGGATGAGAACCTAATATTCAGCATCTTCGTAATTTTCATAAATTATAACCGGAACGAAAAACGAAAACCGAAAAATCGCTAACTCTTTCCTAAAAAAAAAAAATCAAAAAAATCAAGAAATCAAATCTAAAAAAATCAATCACAAAATCAAAAAATCAAATCTAAAAAAATCAATCACAAAATCAAAAAATCAAATCTAAAAAAATCAATCACAAAATCAAAAAATCAAATCTAAAGAAATCAATCAAGAAATCAACACCACCACTTCATTTTTAACCCAGCTCTCACCCAGTATCGATTGACCACATTCAGAACTGCATCATCTTGAGTTTGTCGTTTTTCCAATTGTTCTATTCGCTGCCGCAGTTCGCCTTCACATCGAATCCGCTGCTCAATACGCTGTACAATAAAAAAGAGCAAACATTAGTTGAAGTGTTAAAATTAAGACAATTGAACTATTTTATACCTGAGCAAGTTTTTTGTTTTGGAATTGCAACACTTTAATATCCAGCTCTTCCAACGTGGATACTGGGCCAATTAAATGTGGCTCAAACTGCACCTTTTTTATAGGTGGCTGTCCACCTATGGCCGCGATGTTATCGTCTGCTGTACGTTTTGACATTTTTGTCCTGAAATGTTGTTCAAAGTGTTGTTAAAACTAATTTATTTCCTTTGCAAATGGAAGAAAAACAACCAAATCAATCGAATAAGAGATGGTTATATGTTAAAAACACATTTGCAATTTATAATGGAGTCACAAGCAAAAATTAGAGTCAGTGTGGAACAAATGGACAACACCACAATATTGATTCTTCTCTTCGTTTGACAAAGCATACTGTCAAAGTGTGCGGGTTGAGAATATTGACTCTCCACATGCTCCGATTACTTTTCTTCATACTTTAGCTGAAACAGTGACACGAAAAACTTTGAATATTTGGAATATTCTATTCAAAAGTATCAGCAATATCAGGGTTTTTTTTCTCGAAGAAATCGAGTTTTTTGATATTCCAAAAAAAAATTCGTCTGTAACAATTTTTTTAAAACTTCAATTTCCATTGAAATTTATAAATTGATACCCCACAAAAAAAATTCTACTCAACCGAAACTCACGTCACGACATTTTCGACTGGAGCTGATGATGTATTTAAGGTTGTTTGTTAAGTATTCATTTGCGTACGTAAATGTAAAAGTTATATCAATTTAAAATTTCATGGAAGAATGTTTTGTATTGCACATTTATTTTTGTATTGCACATCAATGAATTCTTCTGTTCTAGAATCAGATGATAAACCTCTTAGACGAGGTTAAAATGGAATGACGCTCCTGTGCATAGATTTACCACTCAAAATGACTGATATCATCTTGAGTGACGCTAGGACGCTGTGTTATCTCTGGATACGAAGTTCAAAAGTGTTTTGAACTTCGTATCCAGAGATAATATAATTTTGTATCCACATTATTTCAACAAAAATAATGATTTTCAGCTACCAATGCTCTGGAAAGTGTATTTTTGATTTATCCCCCTAACAAAAGTTCAATTTCATACATTCAGAAGCAAAAATGCCGATTGATGACCAAAATAACAATGAAATGGGTATTTGGGTGTTCGTAGACTCCCATTATTTTCACAAATAAATAGTAGTTTTCAAAGACAAAAACATCGTCAGAGGTGTATTTAACGTATTTTCCGAGAAAAAAAAACATTATTTTCAGTGCGAATAGTGCAAGTTGAAAAATTCACTTCAATCAGACCAATTTTTCGACCATGAAATGCCCTCAGATCGCATTGTGACCACTTTTATTCGATTGCTCGTCGAAAATTGAGCGGATATCTTCGCGAAACTTTTCTACCCAGTCGATGCGTATTTCGGCAGCATTTTCATCTTAGAATGCGACTCTTCGTACAAATTCCGTTCATGGATGAATCGCCGATGCCCAGAACTTCGAAATACGAATTTTCCCAGATATATGGCATATGCTATTTTTTTTGTATGGTGGCCAGCAATGAACGCTCAGTTTTTGGTTAACATCGGTTGGGCGTATTTTTGACCAGAAGCTCAGTTTTGTCAAGCACATCGACGCAATCACATAGAAAGCAACGGTTGCCCTTGGTTTCATCAGGAGATTTTGCTACGACATAGTCGATTTAAAAACGCTCAAAACATTGTATTACGCACTGGTTCAGTCTCATCTCAAGTACTGTAACGTCGTATGGCTACCAACTTATGCCGTACATATCGACAAGATCGAGAGTGTTTTGAGGAAATTTACTCAGTTTGCCAGAAGAGAGTATCGGTCAGTGGCCAACAGATATAATATCTCCGAATACAACAAGCGACTCGAAGCCCTGGATATGGCATCATTTAAAAGAAGGAGAGTAAATGCATCAATTGTATTTATTTACGATATCGTGAATGGATACGCAAACTGTCCTACTGTACGCAATGATTTAGCAGTAAGTGAGGTAAAGATCAAGGACAATCTGATGGATAAACAGATTAGAGCTCAAATGCCACAATTGTGCAAATACGCAAACAAAGTGGCCGATCCATTCACAAATTCAACCAGTCGCGCAAACTTCATCAAATCAGTACGAAAAGAGCACAGCCAAGTTTTTAGTTTAAATTACTGACAAATTATTTTTTTAGATCTTTGGTAAATGTATAGCATTAATGTGGCAAAACTGTGATTTTTACACAAATTTATTGGAATTTAGTAACATTGACTGTGATATTTATCAGATGAAAAACCTCTAGACGAGGTTAAAATGGAGTGACGCTCCTGTGCGTGGTATTACCACTCAAAATGACTGATATCATTTTGAGTGACGCTTTGACACTGTATTATCTCTGGGTACGAAGTTCAAAAGTGTTTTTCGCATTCAATATTGTGAAAATTTATTTACAATAAGGAACAATATCGCGTCAGGTTAAAATGGAGTGAACCTCGCCTAGAGGTTTTTCATATGATATCACTAATTTTGTAAGGCAATTATTCTCGGGAAAAATACACTTTTGCCAGAAATATGTCTATTTTAAGGTCTTATCATTGGGAAATTGTAATTTTTCGGGTAAAACATTTGCATCCACATTTCACAAGTTTTGTAAATAGCAAATTTCCACTTTCATTAAAAAAGAGTCCCATTTTCCCCTTATTGGACATTGTGAAATGTGATTAAATTTCAAAATAACCATAAAAAGAGTGTTAAAACGATTGTGGATTCTCATTATTTCATTGAAATATATTAATTTCCAACCACCAAAGCTCTCGAAAGTGCATTTTTTATGTATCCCCCGAGCAAAAGTTCAATTTCATACATTCAGATGCCAAAATGCCGATTTATGACCAAAATGACAACGAAATGGATTTTCAAGTGTTCGTAGACTCCCATTATTTTCACGAAAAAATAGCAGTTTTCTAAGACCAAAATGTCGTCAGAGGTCTATTTCACGTGTTTTCCGAACAAAAATGTCATTTTCTGTGAAAATAGAGCAAGTTGAAAAATTCACTTCAATCCGACCTATTTTTCGACCATGAAATGCCCTCAGATCGCATTGTGACCACTTTTAATCGATTGCTCGTCGAAAATTGAGCGAATATGGTCTTTCGTGAGCCTTTTTCAGCCAGTAGATGCGTATTTTTGGCAGCAATTTCATCGTAGAATGCGACTCTTCGTACAAATTCCGTTCGTTGATGAATTGCCTATGCCCAGAACTTCGAAATACGAATTTTCTCGGATATGTGGCTTATGCCATTTTTTTTTATTATTATTATTATTCTGCACCATACAGCGTTTCTTCGCCAGAGGTGGTTTATTTGGTATAAATAAAGGGTATCCCAATAGGGACGCAAAAAGTTTTTCAATAGGGATTTCATGATGGATGCCCCGATCTGTCGAACTGGAATGTCAGTTTGAAGCGTCCATCTATACCATTTATAACCATGTCAAGATTAAGTAAAGATCAACGCGTTCAAGTCGTTAAATCCCATTACGAAAATGGGTCTATTTTGCAAAATACGTTTCGTGCAATTTGTGAATTTTTCGGCCGAAATAATCGACCAAATGTGTCCACCATCAGTCGCCTGGTGCAGAAATATGAGCGTACTGGCTCTGTGTTAGACGATCAACCATCAACCCGTATGCGAACGGCCCGCTCGCACGAAAATATTGCTGCTGTGAGTGAAAGTGTGGAGGACGAGCCAAGAATCTCGGTTCGTCGACGTTCTCAACAAGTTGGCCTCTCTAGGATGACCACATGGCGTATTCTCACCAAAGACTTGGGTCTACAGTCTACACGCTTATGTTTGGTGCGGTTTATGGGCCGGCGGCATCATCGGGCCGTATTTCTTCGAAAATGATGATGGTCGAGCCGTTTCCATCAATGGCGGGCGATATCGTGAGATGTTGCAGTATTTTTTTTGGTCGGAAATTGAAGGCATGGACTTATCCGACATGTGGTTTCAACAAGACGGCACCAGACCACACACAACACCTGAAACATTAGCGGTAATCGAAGAACGTTTTTCAAATCGCATCATTTCTCAAAAGGCCGAAGTGGAATGGCCGCCTCGTTCGTGCGATTTAACGCCATTGGACTATTTTCTTTGGGGCTACGTCAAGGATAAAGTCTATGCCAACAAACCAAGCACCATTGCCGAGCTGAAAATTGAAATCAGACGTATCATAGCCACCGTAAATGTGCCATTACTCGAATCTGTAATTGAAAATTTGGGCAAGCGGCTTAAGGTCTGTGAAAAGAGCCGTGGTGGACATTTGCACGATATTCTTTTTCATACATAAATGGTAAAGACCAAACTACAACATACAATAAAGATTTGGAAAATTGGAAACTATTTTCATTGTTTTTTTTATAAATACTTTTTTGCGTTGCTATTGGGACACCCTTTATTTGGTTATATATTTACAATATTTATAATGTATTCGTATTTTCAGTCTCTCCAAGTTCTATTTCTTCTAAAATAATCAGTTATTCTTTGCTTGACAGTGTTTGTGCTAACATTGAAATCAATTAAATAA